CCGTTAGCTGTAAAAATCCATAGATTAGCCGCACCGTTATATAAGCTGCAGCGTCGAAAAATGGGGAAAAAGGCGTGGCTTATAGTCCGAACATTACGGTATTTAAATCCTTAGCACAATTGTGACTCAGCAGTAAAAGTACATNTCTGGGATTTGTAGTCTTTCTAGTTGTGTATTTTTCATAGTCTTATATTTCAACAGTTTTATGATAAACTGTGACTTTTTTGACATGGAAATTATTTAAGATTGACAAACATGTGTAATTCGTGGCACAATTCAAAGGAGATCGAAATAATCTTTCTCTCCCCATTGACTTCAATGGGGAGACTGTCTACAAGTCTACTATGGCTCATATTTTCAAAATACTGTACTATTACTTTTTCATGAAATTCAATTAAATTGAGAATGATGCAATAAGTCCCTCAAATTAAATATCATAATTCAAAGTTTCCCTGAGTGTTAAGCCCTCAAACAGACAGTATTTTAAATAATAATTAGACATGAAAGGACACATGAAAGAGCACATCATTGAGGACAAAACAAAGTTAACTTAAACAAGCTTATTTTTAATGGATCTGCAAAACTGTTTGAATTTCCAAAGAGAACTTGTGTACCTCCCGCCCACAGTTACCCAGTGGCAAACGTTACACAACGTTACAGAAACGCTTCCAACCCAAAGAAATCTGCATGCAGCAAACAAAATAAAAATAAATCAAACCCAAATAGGAAAAAAAAATAAGTAAAATAAATCATACAGATAAAAATAAAAACATCAATAACAGGACATACTGTATAATACCGTTCTCTTGGCCGGAGGAGAAATTCAAACGTTCCCGCTTCAGTTGCGGCGTCCTCTGACAGAGCCGACAGATTATTAAACTGTAATTTCATTGGGTGGATGTGGCCCCGCCCACAACACTAGCCCCGCCCCTGTCTTCCATATAAGGCACAGGACAAAATAAACCCCCACATACAAAAGGAGCTAGCCACGCCTCTGTCACTTGGTAACAAATTGTAAATGACCAAATACGATTAGACAACAGAAAAGTGTACAAAATGTTAATCCTACATTTGTCTTTTTTTGTTTTTCTTTTATTTAGATTTCCTCTGACCGAAAGTGAGTGACGTGGGTGGGGGGTGAGGGTGGGGTTAAGGGTGGGGGTGTCCAACCAGGTGAGCTCAGGCAAAGGAAATATTAAAAATATGAGCTTGTCTTTTCACACATTATTTCTTTATCTTTTTTTTTTCTTTTTTTTTTTAACAACTTTTAAAACAAATGACATTAAACGTGACTGGATTTCTCTTTTTATCAGAAATAAAAATGATCATCAGATGGAGAGTGGAAGAATATGGTGTAGGGGGGGGGGAGGGGGGGGATTAGAGAGTGAAGTGTTTTATTGTTTTATTCTGATAAAGAGACAGACAGAGAGTGTCAGTGTGCAAGAAAAACTCATGAGACAGGTTAGAGAGCGAGAGAGTTAGAGTTAGCAGTTAGAGAGAGAGAGAGAGAAACTGAATATGTGTGTGTGTCTGTCTGTGTGTGTGCGTTAGTGTGTGTGTGTGAGAGTGAAACCGAGGACTTGTTCAACTGCAGCACTTGCTCTTCCAGCCTGTGACTCCACCTCCGCTGCTGATGTCCACGTTTTCACTGTTGGGCTCTTTTACAGGCGTCTGTCGGACAAAACACACACATAAAAAAAGATATGAGTAATTAGGACGATGGTGCAGCTTTTTATGAGCTCTTTCAAGGTACCTCAACTAATCATTTCAAGATTCTAAAAGTCTTTATCATCACGTTAAAATGTCATAAAATCGTCAACGAGGGAATTTGAGTTTTATTCCTTTATACCCAGAGAAACCATGTAGATTGTCTTTTTGTTTATTTCATCACCTGTTCCTATTAATGTTGATCTTTGAATCATGATTATTATGAATATGTTCATTTTCACAGTAAGGGATCGACTTATTATCTAACTTAAAATGACAAATGAACACAAGTAATAAAAACACTGACTTTCCATCGACTTACTTCTTTAACTTTTATAACGTGGGCTAAGTGGGAGATTCGCCATTTTTTTAAATGATAATTGACATCTTAAGTTTTAGACCAACTGTCAACACATTAGATACACTTACAAGTAGCAACACAGTTCATAATAATAATAATACATTTGATTTATATAGCACACTTTAAACAAACGTCATCTCAAGGTGCAGTTAGCATCTGACTGGAGCTAAATTAGCTTTTCCTAGAAGAGCAAAGCTATTAAATTGCTTCTTGGAGAGTATTGTGAATACTAATAATACAGATTGATACATTTAGATTTGATAAATACAGATAAACACATTGATTGTTCCCCCTTATTCAATCTATAAAATACAATAAATACATTAGTTATTTTAGAGTTGTATATTTGCACTATACGTTTTCACTGTACCTACTTTGCATTGCTACACAGTCATTTTACCCAGAGGTAAACAAAGTGTTATCTTATTTGAAGTTATACAGGTATCCCAGGAAATACTATTGGGCCACAAAAAAAATCATTATCGATCACATACACTCACCTTTCTGAGGATGTCTTCTGCTAACGTGAGGAAAGCCTTCTCGATGCTGACGTTGGCCTTAGCACTCGTCTCAAAAAACCTAATGCCATGCTCCCTTGCAATCTGAGGAGGAGAACAAACAGCCAGTTAGAACGACAAGTGTGGTTTAAGTTTAATAAAGTTCAGTCCAAAAATAAAGTGTGCAGAACAGAGATCAGGTATCAATGCTGTTACCGACACACAGTCAGGTGGGTGTGTGTGTGGGTAAGCAGATCTGATGTTGCTAAATCTGCAGACCGACTAGTCACTGCTAGTTCGTTTTGGAACACACACACACACACACACACACACACACACACACACACACACACACACTAAATTAGTACATGTACAGTAAGAGAAGAGAAAAAAATACGTTTTCCCATGAGGGGGGGGTTTACATTTCTGCTGAATTACCCAGGAGGTGTTGTTTGCTTGACCACAGAAATAAAAAGGATTTAGGCTCAAGTGTTAACACTTTGCAAGAAGACAAGGAAGTCATCACTGCAATCTTTGAGAATTTGAATCCTGGTGATTAACCTGGATATGTAGATGGATGCCATTTTGTGTGCAATGTGTTAAATGTTTAGGAAAACTCACGTAATGCAGGATTCCTATAGCATATCTTTTTTTAGCTTTTCCCCGCACCTTACAGTGGTGTTAAATGACACTTATTTACAGTACATACACAGATGTAATGGTGGTTTAACAAATGACAGACGGATGACAAAGCTACATTATTCTACAGCGAGGTGAAGAATTTAAAGAAAACAACCAAGTTCTGTTTCACCTGTGAAATTAGATTTAATCATGAATGCTCCAGCCATTATCCTGTGTCAAAGTACAGTATGTGTTTCAAGCAGCTAAACTAACCATCCTATCACTAGTGTTATTGTCTGTGTGTTTTGGGTAAATTAATCTATGATGAAAACGCTTGTAGGCGCCGACAAATCACCGCCTGGTCTGTATGAAAATACATCCGTTTATTACATGATGGATCATAAAAGTGATATGTGTTTTTGACAAGAAGCCCATTCAACACGTTTTCTAATACATACAATGTCTGCATACAAATTGAATGTCCATGCCTATAGCTGTACATAAACCATCCCATGTATTTATGATATACTACACAGCTCTGTCTGCAACAATATTTCCTCTGTCATCTTTTACACCACCTTTAAATCAATTCTATATCCTCCAAAACAATGCAGTCCTTTGTTTTGAGCCCTGCGGAGAATATATGAGGATTCATGGGGCAATTTGACTACAAGTCTTGAACATAATAGATGTGATTAACTGCAGGGGAGTAAATCAACTTGTTCAGGTCCATGAACTGGATAGCAGTAAAAGAAGATCAGCCAATCAGAAGGCAGGACAGTGATGATGAAGTAACAGCTGCTGCAGTGGACTGCACCATCTCACCTGCTCCCCCTTGGCTTTTGGTACGACCCTCTTGTCCTCCATGTCACACTTGTTGCCTAGCAGCATCCTCTCAACGTCCTCATTTGCATGCTGAAAAAGATAAAGAGGAAAGAGTAGATTATTAGATTAACGTTTCATATCAGCTTCATTACATATTTTTGTTTTTG